CGGGCTCGCCGACCCACTCCCTGCGCTGCCTCTGCGCACGCACTTTGCCGACATCAACACATTCATGGCACAGCCAGTCATCAAGGTCACCAGGCCCTGTCCTCCCCTGTGTGTGGCCTCCCTCCCCTCTCAGGAAGAAAGCACTGCAGTCAATGACACTCCGCACCACCACCGCCAAGAGAAAGAGAACAGCACGAAAAGCCACTGGCAACTGACCGCCGGCCTTCACGAGCGCCATGTCTGGAATCACCACCCCTGGTTTGTGCCTGTCGGAGCGGGAGCTCTCCTCCGCAGTTCAGACTCGAGTTTGAAGTGCCCTGTGTCCCGCGCCCCACAGGCCCAGCCCCTGGAGGGCCAAGACTCCCTCCTCAAGGGGCAGCTTCGAGATCTGTCATCTCCAAACACAGATTCCTCTGTGGCCTCTGCTGCCCGAGAAGACGGAGCTCCCGGTGAGGTGCTGGTAGGACAGCACAGGGCACGTGTCCTTGTCCTCGTGGCATGGCCGAGGCCAGAGGACCAAAGGCTCTGAAGGCTGGTCTGGGTTCCAGAAAGAGTTTTTGGAGCTGCTCTTTCACTTCCATAGGACACTGTGGCGGCCGCAGCTCCAGGAGCCTGAGTGTGCTCACGGCTGCCTGGCCCACTTCTCGCCTGGTGAGCTCCCCCAAAACCCAGAAGCTTCCTCCCAACACCTCTGTCAAACTCCCAGCTCCTCCAATCCGTCCCTCCCGGGCCTGTTGGTCCTCCAATCTACAGAATGCATCTCCTCCAGCCTGGGGCTCCTGGGCACTGTACAGCCCCCACCCCCATCCTTCCTGCTCCCTCTTACAGACCGGCCCAGGGTCTCCAGAGGGAGACTGACCAGCTGCAGGAGATGGTGGGCTCCGTAGAGCTACATCACCGGCCAGCGGCCAGGGCCCCGTCGGCACAGGGACAGGCATGGCGGCTGCACCAGGGAAGGAGGGAGGAAGGGAACTTAGCTCAGCGCAGATGCTTCTCAGTCTCTCCTGGGGGCACCGAAGCCCATGGGGCCTGCACTCCCTTCCTCTCACGTAGTGCGGTGCCCACACTGCTCCTACCGCTGTCTCAGTTCACTCTCCCCAGCTTTTTGGTTCAGTAGAGACGCAAAGCGGTTGCTCACAGGCTCTGCATCAGCATTCCTGAGCCCAAGGACATCCACACCACACCCGTCAACCTCTCCAGACAACAGCAGCCTCACGGGAGTGGCGCCCCCTCTTTCCCGGGCCTCTCCCCTCCTCCTCACTGGCCCATCCTTCCATTTTCATTCCAAGTTTTGCTCGCACACAGCTTCCTGGCAAAGCCCTGGCTCCACAGTCCGTCCCCAGCTCTGAGGTGCCTCCCCTTCTGTTCTGCTCACTCCACCAGCCGACCTGGGATGCTCCGGACCACAGAACAGTCCCGCCTTCTAGAAGCTGCTGAGAAGGCCAGACCCTCAGATTCCTCACAGTTGAAGTTCTAGCCAATTCTGGGGCTTTCTTCACTCAGGGCCCTCAGAGCTTGGGGTTCAAGAGAAACGGCGGGAGGAGACTGCCAGGCGGAGGCGCCGAGGACCCTGGGACCTTGGCGAGGTCTGTTACCCCGGGGCCCGGCGAGCCTCATGCCGGCGGGCAGCTCGGGCTCGGCTCGGGGCCTCAGACGCTCAGCTGCCACATCTCCCTCCTTTCCCCGGGGCCCCACTCCCTCCTCCTCCAAAGGCTTCTGTATGCGAAGCTGCTGGGCTCCAGGCTGATCTGGAGCATTAACAACCTGCACAGACAAACCCAGCACCTGCGGGCTGCGCTGCGCCTCTGGTCCAGGGTCTGCAGCTGCCAGCACCGCCTGGCCCGACACACTGGCCTGGAGAGGGCCGGCACTGGGCCCAGAGGTGGGGCCAGAGGAAAGGGAGCCACGGGCCCGAGAGCCTGCAGCACTCGCTGCCCCTCGTGCAGTCACAGTGTGGTGTGACGTGGACAGTCGTTCTCTGGAAGACAGGAAACAGGAGGAGGAGCTCCTCTGGGAATGGGTGGCCCCACTTTCTGAGGTCAAAGTTCTCTCCCAGCCTGAGGCTCTGGGGTGGCAAACAGGATGGCGCTATCCCATGCAGACATTCCTGCTCTGAAGAGGAAGAGGTGAGGAGCTTTAATCCACAGGGAAATGCAGAAGGGGGAGCATGAGGAGGACAACTCAGCCAGACAGGCCCCTGCCCCTTCTCCCTTAGGCCAGAGCCGCAGCAGGACAGACGGCGTGCGGGGGGGGTGGGGGGGGGGAGCAGGGATGGTCCTCAGACCACCGTCTCATCAGCGAGGGCACGGCCCCATCCCCCACTCTGCTCCTGGGACCACGAGGTCACCCAGCCAGGTGGGCTCCAGAGAAGGCCCAGTCTCTGGCCCCGGGCACCTAACTCAGAGGCTGCAGCTGCCGTGGGGGCTCGGGCGCCTCAGCCCACAGTGACGCTGAAGCCACAGTGGAACCTGTTGCGCCAGTGGTTGAGGAAGGCCCCCAGGGCGAGGGTGACGGGCAGCGGGGGCATCTTCTTCTCCAGCACAGCGCCCACACACCAGTTACTGTCCACCACGCCTGCAGCAGGAGATGCGGGCCAGGTTAGGTACCCGGCTCCCCGCCCCCTACCTGCCCCCCATCCCACAACACCTCCACGTGTGGTCTCAATCATCCTCACCTCTAAACACCATGTTGGCCTGCGGCAGAGTCAGGTGGTAACCAAAGGAGAAGGTTGTGTCTTGTAGCCTGGTGTTTGCCTCAAACTCCACACCAACCTGAACCTGAGGATGGGAGAGGGTCTGTCTCTGTAGAGACTGCGGGGTCCTGACGGGCCAGCAGGAGGAGGCACGCGGGAAATGTATGGGAAGCGCAGGCGGGAAGACAGCCGGTCAGCAGGGCCTGTGGCCGCCCAGGGTGGGCAAAAGGTCACGAGTGACATGCGGGTGGGGGTGGGATCAGTCGTCTCACCTGCTCGTTTGCCCTGTGGTAATAACTGGCATGGGCCCCACCTGATCCCACATTCAACGTAGCTACCCAGTGCACAGCTGTGAAAAGCAGAGGCGGGGGACAGGAGCATTACTGCTTGGACACAGGCCAGGGACCCAGCCAAGTCCAGAATTCCCCTCCCTCTCGCCCTCTCATCATACCGGAGTACTTCCCCGCCAGTGTCAAGATGGCCCCCTCCTCGCCTGGCCGCCGGTGATACACTAACTCTCCCCCCAACACCAGCCGGTGTGTGAGGCTCTGCAGGAAGTGAGCGACCAGGATCACTGGGAGTGGGAGACACAGAGTGAGGCCTAGAGACAGCACCCAGCCTGCCTCCCCCGCAAGGACCCCCAGGGCCTGCCCAGAGGTTCTTCTCTGATCCCTGAACTGGACAGATGATGCAGAGGATTGCCAACAGCAGCAGGTGGGCAGCCAATAAAAAGAACCCTGTCCCACTTCTCACCCGATTCCCCAATCAAGTCAGGATTTCCAAGGGTCAGAGTCGCTGTGTAGTCATCTCCCCGGTACTCGCCGTCAAACTGCCAGGTCAGGAACTTGGACTGCTGCGTCTGGGATGGAGCGCGAGAAGTAAGATCTCCCTCCCTCTCTGCCACCACTGTTGCCTCTGCTCCTCCCCCTGGGGCCCTGGAGCAGGACATTCATGGGGAAAGAAGCCCTCGGATGGAGGCAGGAGCCATGAGTCACCTGGAAGACAGCCTTGGCTCGGAGCCGCTCTGCCAAGAGGAGCAGGACCTGGGCGTTGAGGCTGCCGCTGCTGTCCCAGTCACCTACCACAGTGGGGAAAACCTGTTGAAGAGCTGGACAGTCAGACTCAGCTGGGCTAGGGTTCCACTCAGCCTCAAGCCACAGACGATGGGCTTTCTTTAACAGCACCCAGCGCCCCCTAGTGGGGCCACAAAGGAAAACTCCCACTCCATCACACAGTGTCCCTCCTCGCTCCCATTCAGAAGAAACCCAGGGAAACAAGCAGGCGCCCTCCCCGTAACAGACACCTTTCCTCCTGCTCTAGGCGGGCTTTTAGAGAGATGGCCAGGTGTGTGGAGCCCTCACCTCAGTGGGGCTAAGTTGCCAGTCCCCTGCATAGGCCGCGTGGAGGTGATAGCCAGGCAGGCCCAGCGCGCTCAGGTGCACAGTGTGAGCCACCTGCGGGAGAGAAGCCAGTGGAGGAGCGCATTCCTGCTGCATCAGTCCCCATCTCACCCTCCATCCCGCCCATCCAGGCCTTCAAGAATCCCAACTATCCAACACACACTGAGGGCCACCTGACTAAAAGCAACAAGTCCCACCAGCAAGGGCGTCAGAGCCGGCTCCTCCCTCCTCTATCCCGCAGCCTGGCCGGGCAGGAGCAGAGGAAGGAGAGGGTGGGGCCGGGCAGGAGGCGCAGTGAGGAGGGGCCAGGGAAGTGGGAGCACCTGGAAATGGCTGCTCAGAACCTTGTTGACCACGAGCTTCACGCCCTCCATCTGTCCTGGGAAGACATCTGAAGGTGGGAGGGAGGGAGGGAGGGGAGGAGTGAGCACAGAGGGGAGCCCCGACCCCAAGAAGCCGTCCCCGTGCGCGCCACAGCCAGCGCTTTGGAGGAACTGACCTCCTTTCCGGTTCTGCAACAAAATGCTCCATCCATTGCGGCACCTGGGCCTCCCTGAGGCCGGAAGCCCGGCGCGATCGCCCTTTCCTGCTCCCATCTCTGCGCGCCCGCAGGCAAGACCGCCCGCCCCCCCGGCCCCTTCCGCGCGAGACACGCGAATCCCAGCCTCACCTTTGCACAGGCGGTGCAGCTCATCGAAGCTCCCGGGGTTGGGCAGGGGTTCCTCTCGACGGGGGCTCCGGCGGGGCAAAGCCGCCAGCGGAGCCAGGCCCAACGTGTTCCCCATTTCAGGCCACAGGACGGGGAGGGCCGGGGTGAGCTGGGAAGGATGCTCCGGCTCCCCAGCCCCCGAAACTTCCACATGGTCCGACGCTAGGCCTGGAACGAGAAGAGCGGGGGCGAGGGCACCGGGCGGGCGCTGCATCGCGGGCACAGTCCCGTCGCACCTTTGGCCCTACAGCCCACCCGTCACCCATCTCTAACCCCAGCCCCCCACGCCTCCCCCGCTTCCTACTCTCCCTCCCGAGGCCCCGGGGCGAGGTTCGCCACGTAGCGGTCGCCTTACCGCCTCAGACCTCCGTGCTGCCCCCTTCCCCCCGGCACACCCCGGTCATCTTGATGGGGGCAGCCATCTTGAGTGATGGCAGGACTGCGGCTTCACACTGCTGTCTCCGCGTGGTCATGAGCACCATCTTGGAACCGGGCAAAAAGAAGCTTTTAAAGATCCGACCCTCCCTGGACTGGGCCCCGCCCAATCTATTAAAAATAAGCGGCCTTGATCTCCCTGGGGCCAATGGGAGAGGAGGAAGCAGAGGAGTGGCAGGCGCCGCGTCCAGAGAGCTCCAGCCTTGGAGCTGCGGAGGCGGGGCTTGCGGGCAGCTCCCGAGACCGACTCGGAGCTGATTGGCTCGGTCCGCGGCCTCCAGGTCGGGGCGTGGGAGCGCGCGGGACGCTGGAGGGAGCACCGTGGAGTCTGGGCCGTCGAAGCTCCCTCCGCCAGACAGAGTGGGGACCGGCCGTGGAGAAGAGGGCGGAGGGAACTACGGGGAAGACTTATTTTCCACCCGGTTCAGGCGCCCTCGGCGCCCCCCCACCCCCCCAGGATCGCCTGGGCTCCTCCTCCCAGGCCTCCGCGACGCTCTGCAAATGCGAGCTGCTCGCCGCACAGCTGCCCTAGGACGCGCTCCTGCCTCCCTCTCGGAATGGGACCGCGTGTGAGCGCCTGGGGTGTGGAGGAGCAGGGGCTGCAGCCTCCATTCCAGCAGATCCGGCTCCTGAAACACCTGCCCCTGTAATTAATCCTTCCTTCCCTGATTCCCCAGGCAAAGCTGGAAAATAAAATCCCGGAATATGGGCCCCGCCCCCAAGTGCGCTCCACTCCAGGCCAGGCGGGAGTCAGTGGGGTGCCTTCCAGCACTGGGGGCTCCACAGGGAAATGGGAGCCCTCGCTGGGCCTCGCATCTCCACCCCCAACTCCCGGGAATGTCCTGCCTACACTTTGATGGCAAAAAGGTGAAAGATGCAAATGCTGCTGATACCTATTCAGCTGACTTCACCCAAATGCCCTGGGAATTTCCTCCCTCCCTGCTATCTGGGCAGAGGGGTGCTGTGGCCCCTGCTGACTCACTTTTGCTGGCTACCACCTCGCCCTAATAAGGTGATCCAATGACCAGGGACCTTCAACTTTTACTCTTTAACCTGAACCTCTTTTCCTACCAGAGGCTGCTTTCTGACTTTGGGGGTAGGGTGTGATCATTGGTCAACATGTTTTCAACCTTGTCTCATCACCCATTAACTGAGGAAGGGACAAGCAAATCACCTGCCCTCTGACCCTCATCCCTACCCCTAATTTCAACTCCTTTCTCCTTTCTTCTGTTCCCCAAAATCTCTTGCAAGTTGCAGTGAAGGGGGGGGGGTAGAGTTGGGGAGACGAAATCCACTCCTAATGGGACAGAATTACTGAGGGCTGAGGGTTGATGTGTCAGAGCTTCCAGAGAAACATAGCACTCTGACTTCCTGCAGCGCGGACCTAGGGACTGCTGCCCCAGACCCCAACAGAGCGAACCTCTAGTAGGCCTACAGGACACCCTGCCTCCATGAAGGCCTGCACCAGGCGTCCCCCATGCACTTGTCCCCTCCTCCCCATCTCTCCAACGTGTTTACTCCAACATGGTCCACCCCAATGTCCCTCCACAGTCCTTGTCACCTGACAGGGGGGTGGGGAAGCAGGCAGATACATGGGCCCTGCCTCCCCAGCCAGGCCAGGCATAGGCGCAAGGACAGAGGCACTGACCAGGTAGGAAGCAGCAGTTGTGGGGAGGGGAGGGACCCGGTTGGAGTGGACACCTAGGAAGGGTCCCTGGGAAGGGGCTGAAGCCCACCCAGCTTCAGTGTCGCCCCACCTCCATCTGTTCCCAGGCCACCTCCCCATATCACCACCATGAAGCTGCTTGTAGTGGCGGTGCTGCTCCTCACCATCTCTGGCCTCAAAGGTGGGTGTGGAGTGGAGGGGGGTCCCAAGAAGAAGGCGGTAGGGGTCCTGGCTGCCCATCTGTCAGTTCTGTGCCCAGATCTGGCAACCCCAAGGCTCAAAATGAAGACCATTCCCCCTCTAAAGCCCAGAAAGCCCATCCAAAGACCTGGAGTGGGAGGCCTGTTTGGGCTGGGCACTGGCAGTGGTGTCGCCAGAGGCCAGGACCAGTGGTTCTCAACCTCTGGCCCTTTAAATACAGTTCCTCATGGTGTGACCCAACCATAAAATTATTTTCGTTGCTACTTCATAACTGTATTGTTGCTACTGTTATGAATCGTAATGTAAATATCTGATATGCAGGATGGTCTTAGGCAACTCCTGTGAAAGGGTCATTCCACCGCCAAAGGGGTCTCGACCCACAGGTTGAGAACCGCTGGCCAGGTCTCAGTATTGGGGACCAGCTAAAAAGGGGGGTGTTTCTGTGTGCCCAGTAGCCTTGGTCTGGAGGCAGGCGGAGGAGACGAGCCTGCAAAGCCTGTTCTCAGTACCTGCAAACCGTGACCGACTATGGCAAGGACCTGGTTGAGAAGGTCAAGGGCCCAGAGGTCCGGGCCCAGAGGTCCGGGCCCAGGCCAAGTAAGTCTCAGCAAGGGGGGTTCAGGGCCCACAAAAGACTGAGCTCGGGGTGGAGATTGGGGAAATGGAGCTTTGAACTGGAGAAAACAACTGCCTCATCCCTGCAGGCCCACGGGCCTGTGGACAGATGGGCCCAGCAGCTGGGTTGTGGGTTTCTGTCTCCGGCAGTGCTCCCTCCCAGCGGAGGGAGGGCTGCCTCTCCTCCTGGAGCTGTGCCGTGCCAGCAGGACCAGCACTGAGCTGGGGGGCTTGGGTCCCACCTCCCACCACCACCAAGGCCTCTGCCAGTGCCTTGGTTCCTTACACTGACCTCTAACCCTCATATATCCAGGGCTTACTTTGAGAACACACGTGAGCAGCTGACACCCCTGGTCAAGAAGGCTGGGAATGAGCTGATGAGCTTCCTCAATTACTTCGTGGTATCCCAATCACCGTCGGATGCCCAGCCACCCCAAGCTGGCCCCTAGGACACGTCTGGCTGGCCTCCAGCGCCCTCTGTCCCCACCCCTTGCTTCTACAATAAATAGTAAAGGAGTCCATGGTGAGTTTTTTGAGGATGGGAGAGGAAGACAGAAGTCCAGGAGGAGGAGGCGGCTTGGGTGTGAAGGGTGGAGAAAGGGTCCAAGAGACAAATGTGGGAAATGGCAGAGTGGGCACCGAGGAGTCTCCTCCAGGCCCGGCACGGCTCTGAGGAGATGAAGAGCCATTCCATGGCCCTGGCTTGTTTGGCTCAGTGGATAGAGCGTCGGCCTGCGGACTGAAAGGTCCCAGGTTCAATTCCTTGTCAAAGGCACATGCCCGGGTTGCGGGCTCGATCCCCAGTGTGGGGTGTGCAGGAGGCAGCTGATCCCATGATTCTCATCATTAATGTTTCTATCTCTCCCTCTCACTTCCTCTCTGAAATCAATAAAAATATATTAAAAAAAAAAAAAAAGAACCTTTGCATGGACGAGGGCCTGAGAAAGGCATGAGACTCAGCGACTCATGCTGGATTCCTGGCCTCGGGCAGGCACAGGAAACGAGGCCTCCCTCAGAAGCTCCTCACCATCATCCTGACAGTGATGGCGAACCTATGACACGTGTGTCAGAGGTGACACCCAAACTCATTTTTTTGGTTGATTTTTCTTTGTTAAATGGCATTTAAATATATAAAATAAATACCAAAAATATAAGTCTTTGTTTTACTATGGTTGCAAAGATCAAAAAAATTCTATATGTGACACGGCACCAGAGTTAAGTTAGGGTTTTTCAAAATGCTGACACGCCGAGCTCAAAAGGTT